TTCAGGGTGCATTCTGCCTTACACTACCTCAGTCTCTGGGGAGGAAAGTTTCAGACTTAGCACAGTTTCTAAAAAACATTGATCTCACCAAGTTCATGTCCAGTTGTGACATTCATGCCAGATGAGTGTTCATCTTAGCTACAGTTGGATGGGTCCCAAAGGTCACTCCCTGCTTGAAAAAGCAGGGCATCATTGAAGCATACTATTTGCTATTTTTTTCTTGTGTTGTGTTTTATTTCCTCATTCTGGTGGTTCCTCCTATTAGCTCTAATTCTTACTTACAACATCACTAATGTGAAAAAATGTTTAATAGGAATGTATATGTATAGCCTATATCAGATTTCGCACTGGCATGGGGAGGGAGGGGGAGAAAAATTTAAAACTCAAAAGCTTATGGAAGTGATTGTTGATAATTCAAAATAAATTAATTTATTTAAAAAGCCCCCCCAAAAAAGCAAGGCATCAATGCTAAGCTGGGTATGAAACCAGGATACTGAGACTTTTGGAAGCCCATAAAACTATAGCTCACTTTCCTGACCTTTTGAAAGCAGAAGGTTGGAGTCTCAATCCTTTCTTTGAAAATGGAGAATAACAAGCATTGAAAGAAAGGACTAAGACCTGTTTCATGGAGCCACGCACCAGGCTTGACGAGGAGGGCCCAAAGACTCTCCCCTTAAAGCACTAACTCTCACTAAATGTCCTCAGTGAAGGAGTCAGAGTAAGAGTGAGCAGCTGAAGGGAAAAGTCAAGGCTCTCACAGCTAGTACATTCTATCTCCATCTATGCAGTTAATCCAAAAGGCTTCTCCTAACCACCTGGCTAGTAGACCAAAACCAATTACAGGTCATCCACACATCCTTACATCTTTCAGTGGCACCTGCATTATGCATCATCAGGATTTTGCTAGAAGTAGGCTACCAAGGCTCACCCAAGTGGGGAGTTGCGTCAGCAACTGTTCCGCTGATGCCACTAAACACTGATTAAATGATTAATTTCACATCCTGCTAGGAAGTTTGATTAGAGCAGGGATTATGGGTACCAAAAGCAGAAGTATGACATAAAGGACGGGAAAATAACTGGCTTTTGGGGGGAACTCAAAAGAGCATTGTTCGACAGACTTTCTCCAAGCTGAAGCAAAAATATAGCAGACAGAGGAAGCTGCTGAAATAGGTGTTTCAAACATTTTATGCCAAGTTTCTTGGCATCCTCACATTCTGTGGAGAGGTGAGAAAGATCAGAATGTTAATATTCTCTGGGAATCAGTGTGTTCATCTATAAAATAAAGGAGCCCTAGATGGCCTCTAAGGTCCCTTCTAACTCTCAATGTATGAGCTTTGGAAGGAAGCAAGCAAGCAAGCGTCTACTAAGCTCCAACTTTGTGTCAGACAGTGGGCTAAGCGCTTTACAAACGTTACTTCACCTGACCCTCACAAATCTGGGAGGTAGGTGCTATTATTATCCTTATTTTACAGTTGAGGAAACTGAGACAAATGGAGATTATGTGACTTGACCAGGATCACACAGCTAGTGAGTAAGTGTGGGAAATTGGATTTGAATTCAGGTCTTCCTGACTTCAGCCCCACCACTAATATCCACTAGCTGCCTCTTTGATCCCCAGCGATGAGTATGAAACCGAAAGAATCTAAAATCAGTCAACAACAAGCATTTATTAAATGCCCTTTAGGTACAAGGCATACACTAAGTGCTCAGGCCACAAAGAAATAAAGATAACTTCCTTGAAGGAACTTTCATTCTAATAGGGGAGATAACAGATAACATGTATATATACAGGTATATGCAAGATAAATACAAAGTAGATACAAGATAACTTTAGAGGAAAAGGCACCAGCAGTTGTGGAGTGGTAGGGAAGAAGAACCAGCTTCTGCAGAAGGTGACTCTTGAGCTGTCTTAGGCTTTTAAGAAGCAGGAGTAAGGAGGGAAGTCATTCCAGGATGGACAGCTAGTACAAAGGCACAGAGGTGGGAGATAGATGGTCTTGTGTGAAAAATAGGGAGGAGGCCAGTACAGTAGGACTAAGAACTCATGCAGGAGAATAAAGTGTGAGAAGACTGTCAGATAGGAAAGGGCCTGGTTGTGAAGGGTTTTCAGTACCAAACAGAGAAGCTTACATTTGGTTCTGGATGTAATAGGGAGTCACTGGAGTTTATTGAGTGGGGATGATTTGGAAGGATCTACATTTTAGGAAAACCACTTGGGTAGCTGAGTGATGGATGGACTGGAATGGAAAGAGTCTTTAGGCAGGAAGACCAATTAGGAGGCTATTGCAATAGTCCAGGTAAGAGATGATGAAGGCCTGAACTAGGTGGGGGACTGTGCAACTAGAGAGAAGGCGATGGCTATAAAGAGACGTCGAGACAGGAGAAACGACAAAATTTGGCAAATGATTGACCGATGGAAATACGGAGTTGAGTATGACACTGAAGTTGCAAACCTGGGTGACCTGAAGGATAGTGATTATCTCAGAAGTAATAAGGAAGCTCAGAAGAGAGGTGAGTTTTAGGGGAAAGGTAATAGTTTTGGTTTTGAATATCTTGAGTTTGAGATGCCTAAGTCACATCTTTTTTGAACCACCTAGGAGGGAGCTGGTGATTTGGGACTGGACCTCAAGAAATAAACTGCATATATAGATCTGGAAATCATATGGAAAGAGGTGAAGAATGAACCTATGAGTTAGGATCTGAAGAAATCAGTAAGAAAGGAAGTACAGAGAAAAAAAGGAAAGGGTCCCAGGATAGAACTTTGAGGCAGAGCCACCATAAGTGGGCATGGTATGTATAAAGATTCAGCAAAAGAGACTGAGGAATAGTCAATAAAAGTAGGAGAACCAAGAAAGAGCAGTGTCACAAAAATCCAGGGAAGAGAGGATACCCAGGAGAAGGTCAGCAGTCAACTGCAAAGAGGTCAAGAAGGATGAGTATTAAGAATGGGTCATTAGATTTGGCAAATAAAAGATCACTGGTAATTTTGGATAGAGCAATTGTGGTTGAATGATAAGGTTGTAAGCCATAATGAAAAGTTCAGAAGAGAGGAAGAGGAAGTTCCAATGGTAGATGGATTTTTCAAGGAATTTAGCTGAGAAAAGGCGAAGAGACTTGGGACAGTCATTGGGGTGGGGTGGGGGTGAGGAGGAGAGTAATATTTTGAAGAATGGTTTTATGGATAGGAAAAACTTGAGTGTTTGTGTAAAAAGCAGGGAAGGAACCAGTAAGTAGGGAGAGACTGAAGATTAAAGAGAGAGAAGGGGTGATATTGGGGGTAATTTGCTAGAGAAGATGGGAGTGGATGGGTTCATTTAGAGAGTTTGATCTTATTTAGAGAATTTGATAAGGAGAAATGCTATGGCATCACCAGAGGCTCGGATGAAGGGTGAATTAATGAGGAATAATGTCAGGTGGATTTGACATGAAAAGAAGGGCAGAAAAAGGAGCTCAAGATAGATGGCCTCAATTTTTCAGGGGAAATATGAGGTGATGTCCTTAGTTGAGAAGGTGGGGGGAGGGGTTGTGTAAGAGATTTGACGAGAAAAGAGAAGGTACAAAGTCAGTCCAAATTAAGGTGACAAGGGGAATGATCACTTAGTGTATGAGTGGAATGTTAAGGTGTCATCAGACATTAATCTAAAACGTATTACACAGATTCTCCCTGAAGGCAGTATCCAGCAGGGGATGGTAGGTAGTATCAAAGGCTGCAGAGAGTTCAAGAAGGAAGAAGAAAGGGAAAAGGGAATAAAGAGATCATGTTCATCTTAGGGAGAGGAATTTCAATACTGACCTTTTACCTGTCCTTCAAAACCCAGATCAAATGTTACCTCTTGTGAAATCTTCTCCTTGTCCCTACCATTTTCTAACTCCCCTTAATGCACTGTCTCCATCCATTATTCTAATTGGATGGGGACTATTTTGCTTGCTTACATTTGTATCTCTTGTGATTCACACAGAGCCTGGAACATGGTAAGACTTAATAAATGCTCTCCCTCTCTGTCTCTCTGTCTCTCTGTCTGGCCGTCCATCCATCCATCATCCATTTTTACTTCCCCAGTAGAAGGGACCTGTTATTTGATTCCTCCTACTAGTCTTAGGAATTTGCCATAATCTAATTTGTATATATTTATTCACAAAGTCTTTTTTTTTTAATATCCTCTACTGTATAGAGTAGAGTATAAGCTCTTTGAGGGCAAGGAGCTAGGACCTTACAAATTGTTCCCTACCCCATTCCGCTATTCAGTCAATAGAACGAGGTCCTAGAAGAGAGAAAATGGGAAGGAGAGGACAGCTGGAGGTTAGTGTTCACAATAAAATTGAAACACATTGTGGATATTGTCTAATTGTGGAAACAAATCGTAAATGTATTATTATTTTAATGAAAAGTTTAAAATAAAATTAAATATCAATAAAACAAAATATTTTTAATAAATATTTAATAAATTTATTTTAATAAAATAAATGAGTTAAAGGAAGCCAAAGCCCTTCGGAAGCTATAACATATCACGGTATAAAATCAGGACATTTAACTAGTCTCAAACCTTTGCAGTTTCAAAGCCTCCTCTGCCTTCCCTTACTGGATTAGGTTAATTCGAGCGGAAGCACAGCTCGCCCCCGTTCTTTTAAAAAACAAAAAACAAAAAACAAAAAACAAAACAAAACAAAAAAAGGGATTCTTGTCCCTATTTCATTGGTCATTGGCTCAAAGCTTCCCAGTCTCCAGTGGTTTTCTTTCCTGTCTGTTACCCCTGGGTCGTGTCATTCCATTGGCTCCCAGTGAAAAACTCCACCCCTGATCTGGGGCTCCAGGAGGAGGAGTTCCCCAGTGATGTCAAACCGGGAATCCCCTCCCACATTCCTTAGTCTGGGCGGTGGAGCTCCCTCTCTCTCCGCCTGTGTAGGCGGGACGAGGAGAAGAAGTGGACCACTGATTGGGTCATATCTACCAAGCGCTAACCCGATTGGTTCTTATCTCTGAGAGGAGGTGGAGTCTTCAGCCGAGACTTGAGTCAGAAGCAAAGTAGAGTAGGGAGTGAATTTCGAGTTTTGACCAGCTGTGGAAAAGTTGAGGGAGCTGAAGATGTTGCGATACGTAAAGAGAATCCTTTTGGGATGAGACGCCCCCTCCTCTTTGCACTTCGGACGGGCGTCCACCCCTTAAGTCCTTCTATCCTGCGTCCTGGGTTCGGGCAGCCTGTCTCCTTTCCTGCTCCAGCCTGCTCCCAGGCACTTTCCTTTCTCTAGTGACCCCGGGAGGAAAGTTTTTCCTCTTTCTCCTCTGTCAGGAGGAGAGGGTCCTTTTCCTCTTCAGAGATTAAAGCCCTGATCCCCAGGCGAGACACGCGCACGCTGGAACTTGGTATCCTCGGTGCCCGTCTGCCTCCAGCTGTGCCAGGTCCTCCCCGCCCCCTCCCGCTTCCTCGCCACAGTCTCGGCTCAGCTGGCTCCCCGTCCCACCATGGAGGTGCTGGAGAGCGGGGAGCAGAACCTGTTGCACTGGGATCGCAAGCTCAGCGAGCTGTCAGAGCCCGTGGACTCCGACAACCTGATGTACAACACGGTGAGGAGGCGGGCAAGGGTTCACAGAGCTCCCACGGGGTCCCTGGGTGCCCACGGGGCCGGCTGCTCGGGGAGGGCGGGGGCAGGGAGGAGGATGTCTCCAAAGAGAACAGCTGGAAGTAGGATGAGTGGAAAGCAAGCAAGACGTAAGCTGGGCAAGGGGGCATTGCAAGGGAAAAGCCTGGGGAGAGGTGTAATTTTATTTATTTGAGTAAAATAAAGGTAGCTGGCACGCTCAATCACAATACCTTGCCTTTGTCAGGCGGTTATTTTTTTTCCTCCTCAAATCACTTTCACATCTGGAATCTCACTTTACTGCTCTCAGTAGGTAGGGATGGTTTGGTATCATTAACACTGTTTTAAAAGTAATGTTGCAACTTTGATGAATGTTGATGATAGGATAGCAAAAGACACAGTCCACATATATATCTAAACGAAAGCTGTGATACTAAGACGGAAAAAGTAGGACCATTCCGCCATTTCTCTCATTCTTCCTCTCCCTTCCTCCTTTTAAGATAATTTTCTGTATTGTTTGAAGAGTCAGGCTAAGTTCTAGGGCGAGGCTGTACTACTTTTTGGCTTTTGAGGTTCTGCAGCTCAGAAAACGAAGACCAGAGCAACAGTATGGAAAATGTGAGTCAACTGGAGATTTCAGAAATGAATTCCCCCAAGATTTCACCAGGTCCCTTACACTGGGGAGTTTGGAGACCCTTTTAGGGATTGTCATCAGGCATGGATTTTGTTTCGAAATTATGAAGTGAGACTGTTTGAGCAGCCCATATAGAGAAGGCCACTTTACTTGTGATCTCTTTGTTTCTTTCCTGGTAAATACAGAAGTTTGTAATTCAAGGGGAGGGGAAAATATAAGACACCAATAAGAAAATAAGATAGTTGGGCCACTTCCCCTTCGTGGTTCTTTTAATAAGATCAGTGCCAGGATATTTGAAACTTTTTTTGCAAAATGACCCTGCAGGCTCCACCTCTTGGGTCTCTGCCTCTAATCTTAAGTTTCTTTGGAAAAAAGGATGAGGCCCTCCCAGCAGTTCTCTCCACAAGAGTTTGTGGTGGATGAGTAAAGACTTGCTTTAAAAAATGTAGAGCTCTGGGTTTCCACAGAAGAGACAGTTTGGGATGAGGTGATAGCCAGATGTGTAGTGTAATCTGATAAATGTATTACCAAATTCAGGTCATGAGAAGACCACTCCAGCTGCCTTTGTTTTTGCTTTGCTATGCACTTACCGCGTTCTAGTTTACATTGCAGTTGCTAGTGTTACCTCATTTTCTGTACTGATATATATGCTCCAGGAGTTTAAGGAGTTATTTTCGTATTCTCAGACCTCAGCACAATGCTGAATAAATTATTCAAAATGAATGAATTTGGATGGATAGCTCTCTAATTAAGCATTTAGGGCATTGCTGGCTTTCAATAATTTTGTTTTGATCCCTTTAATTTCCTGGAGTACATGGCATGCGTCAGAGAATTACTAGGGGTATATCCTTCAGTGAGGATTCCATTTTAATCATCAAGAAGAGGTGACAATTCTTAAATACTGGGTGTCTCAAACTATTGGGACTAAGACTTTTGGGACAGCTTGTATGCCATTACCTGGTCTTAAGAATGTAAAAATTTCCCAGTGCCTGTGTCTGGGATTACAGAGTCAATCACTCCTCTCAGGAGCAGATCATTTTTCATGTTTTCATCCTAGATATTTTTAGGAGTTTTCAGGGTCGGTTTGTCTTTCAGACAGTCAAAGGGAAGGCGTGGTTAAAGTCTATAAAACTATGAAAGGTATGAATGTAATGAATACCGATCAAAGTCAGACATAAAATGAAAGTTTAATTTACTCTGATACTGCTTGAAAAAGGTGTTTGTCCCTGCCATGGGGAAGGTTTCATGAAGAGTCCATATGGAATAAGTTACCTATAGATAGGAGGTCTTCCAGATGCTTCTGTTGGTGGATGAAATTGTGCTGATTGCATCAAACCCTAGAACACTGTAGAGCCCCTTAAAAGTGATAGGATAATATGATTATATTATTATTCACAATATTATTATTCACAGCTGGATTGAAAGTTCATGTAGTCCAACCTCCTTATTTTTTTTGCATTTGAGAAAATTGAGGCCCAGAGAGGTAAATTGTTTCTTTTCTCTGGGCTTTAGTGTTCTCATCTAGTAGTAAACAGCAAAATTAGGATTTGAACCCAGGTCTTTTGACTCCAAATCCAGCACTCTTTCTCTTATAACCCAAGTAACTGAAAAATATTTGGCTTATCTACACAGGAAAAACCAAATGGATGAAAAATGCCTATTGTCCAGGCTAGGATACACACACATAATGTTGATACAAATGGATATATGCTGATATATACATACACATATGTATATATAATATATATCATAGCCAAAGTTTGTGTGTGTACATATATACACACACAGAATATGATATATACATATATACATTTATAGTATATATATCATATGGGTATATATTGTGTACATATGTATATAGAATATTACATATGTATATATATTTATACTCACACAAACTCTGGCTATGATACATATGTATATATAAGTATATAGTTGTATGTATCAGCATATGTCCATGTGTGTCATCTATCTCTATATTAGTATACACACACACACATCCACATACAAACATACATGTGTACCAACTCTTTGGGTTGTGCATCCAACTGCTTATTCTAGCCTGGAGGGAATAGCTATAATTATATGTCATATATAGTATAATAATTGTATCATATATCATATAATCATATATCATATAATACATAGAAGAATATGTATATAATATGTGTCTGTGTGTTGCATAAACTTTGCAGATGAACTATGAACTAGATCCAGACTTCAAGAGAAATAGAGTGATCTGAATTGCATCCTGATACTGTCACAACAAAGGCTTATTTTTTTAGTACCAATATTACTTTGCATACTTAGTTTTTTTTTTAAGTTTACATTTATAACACTTAAAGTTTTGTGCAACCTTTTACATATATATATGTATATATTATATATATATTAAGTCATTTGATCCTCACAACCTTTCAGGGGTGGGCACTATTATCATCTGGATATTATAGATGAGGAAAATGAGGCTCCAAGAGATTAATGGACTCACCCAGGGCCACATAGCTAGTTAGTGTTGGAGGTGGGATTCCAAGCCAGGTCTTCCTAACTCCAAGTCCATTTCTCTGTGGAAACTATTACCTTGAGAGGTGTTCGTGAAAGTTTAAATAGATTCAAGGAGGACTCCATTGTTGGGTGCTGGTGGTGGCTGGGGAACCTTTTGGGTGGTCTTATATGTCACCCCTAAATGTCGCATGCTAAATTGTCTGGGATGTGTGAGATTCCCATTGGTTTGGAATACATTATTAAGTCAGTATTTTGTTGGCTTAGAATTTGTTTCTCATGTTATAAGTTTAGGAATGGGGTAAATTGGGTAAGGGAAAGTGAGGAAAAGTCACTTTTACTTCCTGTAGCCCTGTGGGATGAGATTTGGGGATGGGGAGAGGGAGGTACCATTTGTCATTTTTCCCAATACCTTGAAGAATCCCTGACTTGATCGTCATCTGCTGATGTTACAACGACCCTTACGGGGCACTCACTTCTCAGTCATCCATAAATTGGTTGGATCTGTCTAGGCTGATGCTTCTTTCCTAGCTTGGTGACTTGTTGTGAAATAGCACACCAGTGCTAGTCTTCCCTCATTTTTATAGATCAGGACACTGAGCCTCAGAGAAGGGAAATGACTTGGCCCAAGGCTGCACAGCAAGTCGTGGCAGAGCTGGAACTAGAATCCGAGGTTCCAAAAACTGTTTGATGGTCCTTGCGATCATCCCGTACCAGTGGCATCTGTTCTCATAGGGAAACTTTAGCTCATCAAAGTGTCAAAGTAGTCCAAAGACTACCACAGTGTTAATAAAAAACAATGTCAAAGGGCAGCTAAACTCTGATTAATCACAGTAAACCACCTCACTCTAAGAAAATGGGTAATGAGGCACACTGTCCTCTTAGTAGATACAATCAATTTACAGTAGTTTTACTTGATGTTTTTCCTTGGTTCTGAGTGTTTAGAATGGGAGTGGGGTATGTATAGAAATGACTGTGGTGTAAAAAAAAAAAACAAAAAGGATTTAAAAACTTAAGTGTTAAATCATGGATTGAAAGAGTACAACAGCTAAAGTGCATGACTAGAAAACAGGAAGATCTGAGTTCAAATCTGGTGTCAGACACTTACTAGCTAGGTGACCCAGGGCAAGTCACTTAACTCTGCCTCAGTTTCCTCATCTGTAAAATGAACTGGAGAAGGAAATGGCAAACCACTCCAGTATCTTTGCCAAGAAAACCCCAAATGGAGTCATGAAGAGTTGGACACGACTGAAAAACAAATTATTATTAATAAACTCAAGCATAATTTATCACTTGCCAGGCTCAACAAATAGTGTTAAATTATGCTAATAGAATAACACAGGGGCAGCAGTAATCTTATTAACAATCCAAGGGCAAACCCGGAAATGGGATGGGGGAGGTGTGGTGGGGGAAACCTGGCCTGCTACATACCAGTGAGGTCTTCACAAGACACTCATATATCCTGATACAGTAAAAACATTGCCCTAGTTTACTAAAATATCTGGGCTTTCTGCTTCTGGATCAAATGGCAAGGCCCGAGGCAGCTAGCTAAGGCCACAAGCATGCATGCCATCCTGGACAAGAATGACTTGTTCTGCTCTTGGTTCAAAGCATCAAGGAAGACAGATGTTCATTTGTCAAAAAAGGTATTTTTCCATGGCAGGTGGCTCTTTAAATATTGATGAGGCCAGACCTACCTTCCTTTTTCTTGGGCTCTTGGGCCTTTATTGGGACCTGCACTTAACATAGTAATTACTCTCCCTGGGGTAGAAGACTCTAGGATTCAGGTGGGTGCCTTAGAGTGTTTGGTCAGTATGACTAGTGGCCACCTCAAAACCATTCAGGTGTGC